GGCAATGCTTTGGAATCTATACTCAAGAAAACCCATTCCCATGTGCTTAAATCCATGCAATTTTTAAAAGGACTGCAAACTTTTGGTGAACTTGCTTTCTACATACATTTGATGATAGATTTAACTATCTTTCTTACAGGTATAATCAATAAAATAAGGATCAGCAGACAGACATGAAGCCGGTGGTGAGTTACAAGATTAGGTTTCCACTCCATAGGAAACAAGATTTGTCTACATTGACACTGTTTGGTAAGGATCTGTCAATCTAACACTGTTTTTGAGGACCTTACGTGCCTGAAACTTGCTTACAGATGTGGACATACCCGTGGGCTGCAGGTCAGTAGTATGACAGTGAAATTGGACGCCTTTTTTCTTTCTGCGACTACTCATAAAATAATAAAAAAATCCCATTTTCTTTGACCATTAATAAGCTATCCTCAGCCATTCGCTGCCCCCTATAATTTCACATTGGATGCTGCCTTTTGTACGTGTTTACATCTTTTTTTTTCTATATTTCAACATAAAGTTTATAGGTGGGAGTGCACACCATCGACCCTAAATCTCTAGAATATTTACTTAAAAATAAAACTGTTAATTCAATACTTATATTCACAATTTCATATGAAAAAGATAAGAAATAAATAAATTAAAGAGTATTTCAAGATGATCAATCACGTTTAAAAATGAAATTGGTGACGATTGAATTTTTGATTTTTCACGATATGACATAACAAAGATTATACGATAAAAATTAACACTAGTGAGACAGAAAAGATTTTCCCAAATCTATGAATGAATGCTAACTTGTTAGAATAATGATTCATTTTGATAAAGTAAATTTGAAAGGTGGTTTCAAAGTTATCGATTAGCTGTCCGTGCGAAGGAATATATGGAAAGGAATTTCTGTACGATTAGACCACGGAAGAGATAGGTTAGTCTAAAGTTAACCGACCTTTGGTACGAAGTGGCGTTAGCGATAAACTTGGAACAAAAGGAGGAATAGATTGAAAAAATAAATAAAGTAAATAAAGTCAGATGTTCCACCTACAACTTAGGAGAATAAACTTTCAAGGGGAGATTTGTATGCTGTTCACAAAATTCCTTTTAAATTTGAAGTGCGTGAAAAATGCAAGGAGATATGTGATTGCTTTTTAATTAGAATCCTCTTTGTGAATTTGCTGAATTGTTTTTGGAGGTATATCAGTATATTTTTCTTGTATGTCAATAAATTTTTTCCATGTCTTTCGTTATTTTTTAAAATGTCGTGATTTATGAATTATTGTAAATTGTTGAATGAATTATAATCATGGTTTTTAATAATTTTTAATTTGATTCTGTTTTGATTTGTGACAAATTTAGATTTTAAAGTTTAAATTAAAATAATTAAGAGTCTCATACCTTTAGACAAGAGGGTCCATTCAACTTTATTTAGCCTGTCATAATGTTTTTCCTTAACCGGTTTCAATTTCAATAATGGATGTACCATCACGAGAGACAATGTGGGCCTTAGACAGGACAGAGGACCTAAACTTGGGAGGATATATATGGAATTTGAAATGCCAATGCCATATCCTTTTAACTTTAAAACACAAATATTCATATACGTGGTATTGTTTTTTTATTTGGTTGGATATGCAAATCCAACAGGGCTCACATGCTTTGGGGTGATTAAGGTTAGGTGGGATGAGAGTTTTAGATCAGTGGGACAGTAGATCAAGGGAAGTCATCATAATTAAAGCTTAATGGGTTCAAATTTGGTGAGATACCATATTTTTCCTTGCAGGTAAGATGGTCACCCATGATTTTCCTAGTAACTTATTGACTACGAAGCTCAACCTCTTTCACTGCTTTTGACTGTTGATTTGTATCCCAAAAGAAAAGCAACAAGAAAATTTTCTAATCTGGTAGAGATTTCAACCCCAGATTATGGGTTAGAAATATAATGATTCTACAAGCCAATTTTCTTGGGAAAATTCCGGAGAAAAGTTAAACAGAAGAGAAAAAGACAAAGTTGCCTTGGGTTTTGGTGTAAACTTGTGCATAACTTTTCTTCACATTAAAATAAGGAATTGAGAGAAGTGCTTTTGCTTATACCTGAATTGTTGTATAAGTCAAGTCATTTTTTCCATTTAATATTTAGGGGTCCCATATGGAATATGCTTTTGTGCCATGAAGCATCTTTGACTTATTGTCGCATGAGGCAGCTTGGAAATTGCTGCCCAAAGTAGCTGTGAATGAGGCTCAAGCTTCTAGAAGAGGAAAACAAGTACATCTTTTACTCAATGTATAGTGCATAGACTTAGGACCACTATGAATCTATTTTGTTTTCTTGTCAAATTATTAATGAAATTAAATGTAAAAAAGAAAACAAAAATAACTAAATTAAGTTTAACTCTCGTGATAAGTGTGTAAGACGGAATTTGGATAAAAATCTTAATTTCGAACCAGTAAAAAAAGGGTGTTAGTCAACAATTATGTATAAATGAGTTGAAACGATAGAGGATTTCATTTAATAAGTAAATTATTTGGTCTAAGATATTTGGAAACTTTATAACTAACATTGAACTTGGACTGTTTTTCAATAGAGGAATTCCAATTGTAATCTTATTAAAGTCAAGGTCCATGCTTTTTGGGTTGTCACTCCTAAGGACTGTCTTTGGTATTTTCCATTTCTTTTTTTTTTTCTCATATAACTTATGTGTTGGGCATGGACCATCAAAGTGAAACTTTAAAATTTATTTTTCAGATAATTTATTTAAAGAATCAAATTCAAATATTTTCTTCTCATAAAATTATAAATGAAATCACTTAATCGATCCGATAAATTGGTATGCACTTTTTTCTTTTCAACTTAGGAGAAAATCAACAAAAGAATTGTGCAAAAAGAATATCAAACTCCCTCACATTCACCTCATTTGAGAATTAATAAAAAAACAAATTAATGACAACTTATATATATATATATATATATGTATAGAACCTTAAAGGTTTTCAACAGATGGAAGCAGCTAAAATAATGGATGTGAATATTCTCCGAGTGAATTTCCTCAATTTTCTTTTGTTTAATTTACTTAGAATTTGATTTGTTTAATGATTTTAAGAAGCAACTTGATTAAAAAAAAAGAGTTCCATTATGTTTTAACACAAGGACAAGAAAGTTAGGTGCAAGTAGCCATTTGATATATATAGTTTAATTAGTATAATCTTCTGGACTCATACGGACTTATCTCACACTTAAACACTATTTCAGCAAACATGAGAATGTGCAATATGATAAGAATATATATATATTCAAAATATACTACATAAATGAATAAAATAGGAAATTAAGCTTCTAAGGAGGAAAAATGTACCCTTTTTTTTTTTCAAAATTTCTTTTTAAATCATAATTAAAAATAAGATTTTTTTAATGAAAATTATATTTAGGCTAAGAGAACTTGTAGTATATTTGAAAATATATTGAATTGAGGTAAAGGAATGGCCCATAACATATCCATTTTATAGATACGCAGGGTTTGGAACCACTTGTGGCGGCTCAATAATAATAAGCATAATAATTGAGAGATGCATCAATTATTGTACATAAGAAAACAAAACTGATGTCATGAAACAGTGATATAATATTACGTATAAAATATTAAAGTAAGACATGTTTTATATCTCATAAGCAATGAATAAATATGAGGCAGCAATTTTCAAGCTGCCTCATGCAATTTAATGTGAGCTTAAAGAAGAAAAGTCTTCAAATAATCAACTTCAACTTTCATCATATAGGACAGAAAAACCTGAGAGATTTGATTATTTTGTTGTTGTTTTTGGTTAGTATTTGTCCCATTCTTCTTCTTTTTTAAGTTTTGGACCACATTTCCTGCAATGAAGAATTAAAATTCAATTTGATTTCCAACTAATGAATAAAAACCAAAGAGCCATCCAAAAAAATTAAAGGATCGTGTGAAAGATATTTGCATTTTCCATGTCAAACTTGAGCTTGTGACTTCACCTAAAGGCTTAAGTCATTGATGATGATGGCCCCAAAAGTCGTGGATGGTGCCTAAAAACCCATTGGGTTTGACTTCAATTTTTTGTACCAAGTTGGGTTTTCTTTGTCACGAATCAAATAATACTTTACTGTTAAATCAAATGCTCCAGTTCTAAGCACCGCCAAGGATCCAAATTTCTAAGGATGTGTAACGTGCCAGCAGTTCTCTTTGTTCTCAATTATGTATTTTGGTTATGCTTTTATTTCAAAAGATATGTTTATTATGTAGAAAAAAATCTTTATTTACAAATTCAAAACTCATCTATTTCTTACATACGTGGTCCATATAAGAAAGAGACCGAACTTAAGAGTCTGAATTTACCTCAATTTTGACATATCTCATAAAGATCTCCTGCCAATCAAGAGTTGAGTATGCTCTAATAGCATTTCTCACAAACTCATATTTTTAACTCAAAAAATATACTTCTTAATTGAAAAAAATCTTTATTTATAAATTCAAAACTCACGTTTTCAATTCAAAAAATATTTATTAAATGAAAAAAAAACTCTTTTTATAAATTCAAAATCCACCTCACCTTTTATTGACGTAAAAATTTCTCACTCTTTTCTCATAAGTCAATCTTGAAGCATTAGAGATCTTAAAAGAGAAATGAAATGAGAAAAGAAACTCCCTTACTATACCCTAAAACTCCAAAAAGGCTAGGCCTTTTAAGTTCAAATATCATATTATTGTCTAAGAAGGCATAAAATTTTGTAGTATAAGGATTCAAAATATGCATGGCTTCTGCTATGAAATGCGATGATAATTCACCTTAAATCACATTCATCTGCAACTACAAGAACATCTGTGTTAGTACTATTTTTACTGTTGTCGCATTCAACACTCTAACAAAAGCTATCAGGGTAATCCTACTTAGCAGTTTTTCAAGTTCTGCAGCAGCCTATAACAAGTTTATCAGCATCAACATATAAATTACCCATATTGCATGAAACAGAAAAGTTTTCAGAGAATGAAGCATGAGATTTGTACCAAATCAATTTTGCTGTCCTGAATCACCAAGAGTACGCCATAACTGTTCTGACACACTTCATGGTCTCAGAGCAGAATGAGTAAAACCTTAACCTCAACACGCTAATAACTTATAGCAGCAATTGTAGCAGCTATTAGTGTACAAGGAGGAAGAGAAGGAAATTACAGCCTTCTTATCTTCAAACCCAAATTTATATCAGAGAAACAATCTTTTGCATCAGAGTTTCTAATGATTTTTCTCTTCCAATTTTTTTACAATTTGAGCATATCATATTGATATCAAAAGGACTTCAAGATTTCTTTACTGCAATTCTGTTGTGTTCATAACGTAACAGGGCTCTCGATTCTACCCTCGAAATGCTGCTCTCATACCTTTGTACCAAGAAATGACTGCAATGAAATAAAAAACAATTAGGGTAGTTGACAAAAATTTAATGGACTTGGTAAATGCCACCGGTAGAAATACTGGGAAATCTAAGAACTAATTCAGTACCTCTTTGTATAAAACACAAACAAGCAGATGATTCAAACTAGAATATTTCACAAATACTTCTCTCCAGTTTCCTATTTAAAGTTCCAAAAGAAGAAGAAAAAAGGTGAAAAAAAAAAAAAGAAAGAAAGAAGGAGATACAGCAAACCAAAACCCTTTTGGTGGAAGCTATCACATAAACCTATTCAAAGAGTTGCACATTCAATCTTTTCACCTAATTTTTCTTCTTGAACTCATTTTCTCTGTATCTTGCACCCCCCATACTTAGCCAGAAGCAGTACTAGAACATGGCGTACACATGAATTTCCTACAAGGAATATAATCCCTATCTTTGACTATAACTATATTCAGCATTAACCAAAAGTATTTTATGTTTGGAGGTCAATACACAGAAGTAAAAGGAAAATTCTTAGACTGAATGAGAGACATAATGAGTTAATCTGTTACTTGATAAGCACTTAAAAGATTATGAGAAATGCTTCAATGTTAATATGAGTAATCAGGAATCCTTGCTAAAACCATAAGCATGATGGGGTCTAGGTACGGAACACTGAATTTGATCCCCATACCCAACTGGAACTGAAGTTAAATCAAACAGATTCCAACGGGATAGGCCTATCCGAAGCCTAGGGGCAAGCCCTCTATCCCATTCTTCCAAATGAGTACTTTATCATTTTGTACAAACATAACAATTGTCTATTCATAGCATCAAAAGTTGGGGCTAAACAGTTCCTGCCAGAGATTATAGTCTAACTTGTTCAATGAAAACCAAATTGTAGCAGGAAAGGACAGGAGTACAAATGCTGCATTCTTGTTAGGAAAAGTTAAACAAAAAATCTGGTACTTAAATCAAAGTCTCTTTTGCTGTCCCACCAGCCATAGTCTACCTTTTAAAATCTAGCTGAAAGATCGAAGTTCATGCAAATTGAACCATTTTCAGTCCCTTTTACAAAGACATAACAAATTACTTCAATGACTATAAAAATTGAAAAAAAAAAAAGAAGAGAAAAAACAAAATCAAAACTTAAAATTGACATTAAGTTAAATCCAATTTAACCAACTATTGACTTTGTAATGTATCCAACAACTCTAATAAAAGACTAAGAACGCAATAACTTATAGTCCTTAACATATATTGTCTGTATTTAATCTAATAACATGTTGGAGGTACAATGAAAGAAGTAAGAACCACAAGAAGTCATGTAGTCAGTGCCTATATTCCATTAGTTAACCTACATAGATGAAGATCTACTCATAGCATTTACCTTGATTCCTGCTGGAGAGTTTCCAGGCTTTGCTGTGGTAGTGCTCCCAAAGACTCCTGTTGAAGGGTTCCCAGGCTTGGCTGTAGTTGTGCTCCCGAAGTTAAACTTTGACTTCTTATCTGCAGGCTTCAATATTTGAAAGGAGCACATCAAAGTCTCGTCCACACTCATCATGGCTCCAGCATTATCAAACTCCCCACAATAGTTAGGTGCTGAAAATATAGTTACAAGTTGTCGGTTGGCAAAGAACTCATATCCATCCTCCACAACCTGCAAATAGTATATTTAAAAATTCCTAAATAAGGGCACAAGTAGTTAAGCTGGCAATCATATCCTCTGTGGTTAACAAAAGGAGTAAGCAGAATGTATCAACAGGGACCAAAACCAATAACAGATGAAGCTGTAGTTTGCAACAGAGTGAAAAGGTATGACATTGCAAGAAGGCAATGTCAGAAGTTCAAAAACTGAGGATAAAAGTAATTGCATGGGCATAAAATAGGCATACTTCTCAGAAGATAAACAACACCAAATGATATATGCATTGGCTCCTGCTGATACATTCTTCTTCAACCTGACTAACAGCAGAGGATATGTGGAACATAAAGTAAGCTGCTAGAGCAAGTAAAACCTGGTGGGCACGGCAAATGAGATCTAGGTCATGTTTCTGTAGAAACTCTGACACCTTGTCAGGACCAAAAGTATATGAAACTCCCCGGTCGTTCATTCCCCAACCTTGAACATCTTTACTGGGATCAGACCAGAGAAGATCACAGAGCAAACCAGTGTCCGGTACATCAGTTGGGCGCTGTAAACTTCTAATTTGGTCCAAATTATGCAGATCAGGAGAAAGGCCTCCATGCATGCACAGAATCTTCTCATCAATTAGCGCTGCCACTGGTAGGCAGTTAAAACATTCTGTGAACGTCTTCCATAGCCTAACATTAAATCTTCTCTTACACTCATCATAGAAACCATATATGCGGTTTATGGAAGCACATTCATGGTTACCCCTCAAGAGGAAAAAATTTTCAGGGTATTTTATCTTGTAAGCAAGAAGAAGACATATTGTCTCCAGACTTTGCTTGCCTCGATCAACATAATCCCCCAAAAATAAGTAGTTGGCATTCGGAGGCAATCCACCGTACTCAAAGAGCCTTAAAAGATCAGAATATTGACCATGGATATCACCTGAATGTCATAAAAAGGTTTCATACAGGAAAGAAATTTAGAAGTTTTCCCTACTCTTAGCAAAATAATTATTTGGACAATAAAAATCTCATATTACAACTAATATGATGAAAAGGTTTTACCCAAAATGCTACCTCTTACATTAATAACACTTGTAGCATGACTGTGCTGCACACAAGTCAATTTAAAATAAATTTCTTAAAAAAGTTCATTATATCATGAATATGTAGTAGTACTCTATATAGGATGTTGTCCTTTTTTAAAATTTCAAAAATTGCCTATAATGAGCATGTATGTTTGTGTATCAAAAATGATATAAGCACTCCACATGTTTGAAATATCAAATGAGATTAAAACATCCATTTATAATGTGTGTGTGAGAGAGAAATATGTGCAATGCAGATATCTAATCCATTGCATCATCACTAATCAGTGGCCCTGTAAAATGCTCATGCTACACCAAGTGAAAATTACTACATATCAGAACCAAACGAGTAGCATTTTTAGTGCAGAAGATCAAAAAATCAAACATCAATGGTTGGCTAAGTTGGTTATGCATCAAATTCGTCAAGTAAACATAGAGCAAACATTCTAGACTTTTAGTTGATAATAAAAGAGCTCTGAGACTAAAGACAACCAGAACATAGAGTCCTTCCAGATTGGTCAGCCAGCCCACAGCATGAATTTTTAGTGAAACTCAAGCTTGATAAATTAAATATTAGATCATCAAGGAACATTCATGCAAATTCTTAAAACAATTCAATATGGGACAAACTGTTCAGTAGAAGTTACAAAAGAATCACACGCCCGAAATTCCATAATTTTCCACCAAATTCACTTTCATGCATGCTCCTATGAGCATGCTCTCTCTCTCACACACACAAAACCGTAAGTAAGATAAACCCATGCCAGAAGCCAACTTCATGGGGAGGAAAAGATAGTATGCACTAATCCCTTTAAACAGTTTCAAACTAGACAGTTCAATGCAATTCTGCAGACACTCAAAATCCCAATTTCTCCACACGTCCACCAAAACAAAAGGGGAAACAGGGCAAACATATAGACATGGAAGGCATATGAATTGCTAAGCATGCTACTTGTGCAATGTCACAAGTAACTGACAGAAAAACAACAAATAGTGCAGTTGCAAGAAATTAACTTACCACATATGCGAACACTGACTAGACCAACTTTCAACAATGTCAAATTAGCAAAAGCAGAAAGCTTAAGCAATTCAAGTCATATGCTTAAAAGAGTGTCATTTATTGAAGAAGATGCATGTGTAGGTGCATAACAAAAAACACTGGGTCACATGCCCAAATACAATCAATCCAAGACCGCAAATTCAACAAAAACAACTCTGAAATTCAAAGCATAAACAAGTCTTATTTCAAATTAACCACTTTGATCTAAACTCATTTGCATATCTGTTCAGTGCAACAAATAAGCATGTGCGAGGTTGCTAATCACCATAAAATTTCCCACTATCCAAATTAAGCAACCAAAACCAAAGCAAAACCAAACCAGGTCATCCATCTGAATAAAAAGTCAATCTTACGCAATGAACACAATACACTCCACTTAAGAGATGAAGGCATACAGACACCATCAAACCAACAAATTAAAACATAAACTGATAAGTCCATCAGAAACAAACTTGGCTTTACCTAATAACCCACCATCCAAAAGTACACAAGTAAACCACACTTACAGCATACATTTTTTTTATTTTTATTTTTGAAAAGTCACTTACAGCATACATTAACAGGGTTTAACATTAAAGGTGGGAAATTTTGACAACTCTGTGATATGTTGTAAAGGAATTCATGCAAGATTATGCTACTACATTCCTAGTTAAAGCAATTAAAACCCAAGCTAATAATTAAAAAATGAATCAATCAGAGTCAAATAAATTGCAAATCCAGGAAGGTAAAAATCATAGTATGTTTGTAACTAAGCTATAAGTGAAAAAGGCGGTTCCCATAAAGTTACAAAATTAAACTTCAAATCATCAAACAAACTAAAAATAAGCATATAAGTCACATAAAAAAACCCATAAAAAATTGGTATTTAAAAAAGAAAACAGAAAATAATACCACATATCTTGATGGGTGCTTCAAGTTCCAACAGATTAGGTTGTTGTAAGAAAATATCTTTAGACACCACACAAAGTTGTCGGATCTCCGATTCCGATAGCTGCACTTGTTTCCCCGGTCGACCCCGAACTTCCAAAAGCCGATTTATAATATCATCAAGAACCCCTTGCTCCATTTTTCAGACCTTTTTTTTTCGTTTAAATTTGACAAATTGGGGTCTTCGAGTTAGGCCAGGAGAAGAAAAGTCAACGGTCTTTTTTCTTCTTTTCTATGGGGTGTGAAGGAGGAAAAGGGAAGATGAAGAAGAGGTGCATGCCGTCGGTGACGACGAAACGTGGGCGGTGTCGTTTCGACAAGGAGAGGGGGTGCCGTTTTAGAGAAGTTGAGTCATTTCTTCATCCAAGGAGGGCTTTGGTTGAAGAGGTAAAGGCGAAAAGAAAAGTGGGGAAAATTTCTTTTGGTACTGCTGGCTAATGGCTAGAGGCTAATGGCTATGGGCTGACTTCAGACATGGAAAAGAAACAAAGAAAGAAAGAGAAACACTTTATGTTTGGTAAATTTCCTACAAATCTAATATATCTAATATAGCCAAAATTTTAATGTGTTAAAAATGAAATGATACTTATTTAGTAATTAAAAAAAAACCGTTTTTTATTTATTTACTTATTTTATATATTATAAAGTTTTCTGAAAATTCAAATTATTAATGATAATTTCTTTTAAAAAATAACCATTGGGTCAAATTTGAAGAATATGATAAATAGAGATTATCTTTGTTTTAAAAGATTTTAAACTATTTACAAAAATTTATATAATATTTATTATTTTATTATGTTCATTCAAACTTTCGTAATTTTATTTTAAATCAAAAAAAATTTTAATTAATGATTTACTAATTATAATTATAAAATTTTATTTGTCATTTTATACTTACGTAACAGTAACAATGAAAGTGAAAATGTTTATATCATTATACCATGTCTCTATCTAGTATGATATGTTAATATGTTACGTAACACAAAATAACAAATAACGATTTACTAATGATAGTATGTCAATTTTTAATTAAAAAAATTTATTTAATTTAAAATAAAAATATAAATACTTAATTAAAAATAATAAAAAATTATTTAGATTTTCGTGTATAATTCAAAAGCCTCTTTAGGTTAAAATGGGCTTGGCTCATTGAGTCTGTCCATTTTTCATTAAATATGAGACATGTTGGGTTAAAAAATTTAAGTTCATATTAGAATCGGACCTAAATGGGCCAGTCCACCAAATCAGTGGACTGGAGCAGGCCAGGCCTATTTGTCAAAAAAAATAATTTTAAATAATTTAATAATTTTATATATTTAACTAAATAATTTTATATATTTAACAATATAAAATTAATAATTTAGTTACCAATGGTATTACTTATTTTATATATTTCAATGTCTTTAATCTTGTCAAATTAAAAATTTTAATTTAGATTAAAACTTATTATCTCTTTTTTTTATGGTAATAAATATTAAATGATAAATTAATTATGATTCAGACTTTAAAAAATTATTGCTATCTAAATAAGATTTAAATACTTTACTTAAGAATGAAGATTGAAGAGGATATAAATGAGTTTTGAAATTTTTATTATTTGGTTATATACTTATTTTTATGATATAGTAGTTTGTGTTAAAAATTTAAACTTTATTATGTAATTTATTTTTTTTATATTTGGTGTAATTTATTTATTTGTAATATATTTTTATTATTTAATTTATGAATTAAATCATAAAATAATTTTATTAATAGAAAATTTATCAAGTAGAATTATAAAAATGAGTTTTTTTAAAAAAAAATGAGTTAATCCAACCCAATCTATAAACTAACAAGGAGTGAGTTGAGTTGAGGTTTTGATGGCTCATATAAAAAATGAGCTGGCCTAGCCCAATTCATATTTTCTCAACCCATAAAGGTTTGGGTCGGGTCAACCCATATTGACAGTTCTATCTTTAGGTATTATACTTATTAAACAAAATTAAAATTCAATTCTTAGCACATCAACATTTTATTTTGCTAAAAACAGCACATGAAATTATTTTAATACTTATACCGTTTTGCAAATTAATTAAGAGAATCAATTTTATTTTCATTAACATTAATTTTTGTACCCATTAAAAATATTTAATAAAATATTTTCGTCTATAAATATTTATTGTAATTTTTTGTATTCTAATGGTGTGTTGTTTTGCTCGTGTACTTATTAATAAAGAATCATATGCTTTAAAATAAGCAATTAAATGATTTTTTTTGGGAATTCGAGAACAATTAATGCATCCTCAAATGTAATAAACAAAAAAAAAGAGGAAAAGTTGACCTTTGCTTATTAATTTTGCTAAATACATAAAAAATAATTGGACACTGAAAGGGCAGATGAAGAGAGAAGGGTGGGTACAAATTTGAAATTTGAAGGAAAAAGACGTGGCAGCCCACTAGAGAGGGGGCGCTCTAATGAATTGTGTTTGGGCTAATGCGCAGCCCACACCTTTTTCTGGTGGGCCCTTAAAAGTCCATAATTAATGACTTTATCTTTGATCAATTAAACCTCTTGAAAATAACTGAGTTGCCACTTGTTCTCCACTATCATTCGTGGATAGGATCTCAATTTTTTGTTGGGTAATTGCCCAATAATCTAATTACTCTTTTTGTTGGGTTATTAAGAATATGAAATTTTAATTTGAAAAATTCGTATTCGGATTATAAAAAAAGACAATGAAATTATGAAATGACGAAGGGATATTTTTTAGTGTGTAACCATACATCATGTTGTGAAAAACAAAATGAAACATGGGTTTTAGTTTGGGATAATTAAATATGAGATTTTCTTTTAGTGTATTTGTGTAGCCATACATACTATCAAGTATTGGCTTCATGACTTGATAGCTTAAACTTTTAAGTTCAAATATGGCTATAAGTCATATATTTGGGTGCTTGCTTGGTGGATATTCCTCATTGCATACCATAAATTCTAGTTGTGGGAAAAGGCTACTTGAAATAGAGAGAGAGTCACAGAGAAGAGGTGAAGAAGGCTACCTATCACCACAGTAAGAGCTCCATCATCATAGGAAATGGTTACCTAGAAGCTGTCCAGGACGTCGGTCTCGGACGCAGAGTAGCCTATTATGTTCCCAAATCTCACAATATTGAGATGAAACCACTAAAGTAAATGTACTCATTTATGGTGATAGATCCATAACTAGATAACTTAAAATTTTGAATTCAAATATGTTTCTAAGGCATATATTTAGGATTATACTTGATGGATTCCTCATCCTCACAAATAGATTGTCTTTGCAAGCATTGTATAGGATCAAAGGTAGACATAAAAACAAAAAAAGCCAAGATAAAAGGAGAAGCAAACATATTTGGAATACAAATATATGTTATAAGTATTAAAACTTATATTATTATAATTAATTTACTATTTTTTACTAGAGAAGAAAAATAAAAAAAATAGTTAACTATGATTTATTTGACAAATTTATTCATAAATATTATCCTATGCATACATGGTCAAAACTAGTTTCAAAAATATAATCATTAAGGGAAAATAATTATCATCCTTGAGATTTATTAGAAATACACTTACTCTCCATTAATTTGAAAAACATTCTTATGTTGCATTTTTTCCCCTTTGTTCCCCTCTTTTTCATTCCATTTTTCTTTGTATTAATAAGTTTCTTTATCACCATTTTTTTTCAATTTGATATAATTTATTTTAATTAAAAATAATATAATATATAATTGAATTGAAGATAATTATAATACATAATTAAATTATACCATAGCTTAAGTAATATTTGATTTGGTAGACAATAAAGATGATCTTTAAACTAATTAAATACCATACCCTAATTTATAACTAACCGATTCTCATTTTTTTTATAATTATGAAGACCTTTGGGCAAAAGAAATAAGAAAATAGATAAAAAAAGAAAACAAAAAATAAGTGAAAAAGTGAATGATAAAAAATATTTTATGTTTGACATAGTACTTGAAAAAGCTCTCAAACTATTTTAAAAAAATTCAAATAAACTTTTGTTCCTTTATTGCATTTAATCAAGTTTTTATAATTTTATTTTAAGTTACAGAAGTTCTTATAATTTTATTAGACTCAGCTACTTGTATTCCACTCTAAATTTCTTGCTTATTTGTCAAAAGACTTTCTATGGCATAGTGTTTGGTCCGAGCATAAATAATTGTACAATTACAAAATACAGTATCGCTCAAAAAACAATTGGCATATGACAAATGTTTAACTAATTGTCAACAGTTACGATGCCAATGTGTCATTTTATATTCATGTGACGTTAGTGTGATATTGATATGAAGGGTGAAAAATGCCACATAACCTTATCATCATATCACATTAACATGCCACGTAATCATTATGATGATATGTTATCATATCATATCAAGTGATATAAAATGATAAGTGACATTATGATTATTAAAAATAATCATTAGTTATAAAAATTTATTTAATTCAAAATAAAAACATAAGGTTTATATGAGGGTATAGTTGGAAATCTAGGACATCATCTCTACAGATTGTCCTTTTTATATTTCTATAATTTCTTGTGAGGTTGGTTAGCCATATGTTTTGTATATTGGATGAATGAAATGATTTGAAATACAACTTTTAAAAAGAAATAAAGATTTGATTGAATATAATAAAAGAATAAAAATTTTTTTAAAAATTTTAAAAAATAATTTAAGAACTTTTGTAGGTATTTTATTCTTTTATCTTTTGATTGAAATTTAACTTTATAATTCATGGAAGGGTAGGTGTATTTCTTTCTCTTTGATCATTAGGGAGGTGCATTTTCAATAAAATCTCTGAGGGTTTTCGTGCTTTTACCACAATAATCTAGTTCTTTACCATTGACTAAAACTTTTAACATAATTCTTAAAAAAAAAAAAAAACTTTTAGCATAATTCATCACCTAATCCAATTATATATCTTAAATAGTGTTCACATTAGAGCTTGAAATTGACCTCGTGGTAGTTTGTGGCCGTGGAAATATAAACTCATCCTCGTGTAATCCGAGCGTTATTAATTAGTTTTCGTAGCTTATTAAAAGACCTTGACTTTTCTTGATATAGACGACTATATCTAGGAGGTGGCTAGGTTGTTTATTTTGCCACAAAGAATTCGGAGCTAGATTGCACAACTCTAGAATTCACCGGAAATGTCTGCCAAGCTTTTTTTTGTGATTCTGATCTTGATGCTTGGCCTCCTACTGCTCACTACCGCAGCTGCTTTTGATGAATGCGAAGAAGACAGTCTTTTCAGAATGTGTGTAAGCCATAGTTCAAGCGGGTCAGGATTTCTTCCGCCAAGGTATGGAGGGGATCGAATAGCTAGATTCCAGGGCCCCCGCCATCCACCACCCATGTCATCTCCTTCTTCAGCTTGCTGTATCTTATTCTAAATTTATGCTATAAAATATGGTAAACATGTGTTTGTTTGCTAGTAGAGGAGCGAGTTTCCTCTATGTCTGAAGTGTTATAGTGTCTGTTTAAGTACAAGATAAAATAATTTAAAGAAATGTTATCCTTGGACCGGCACCGGAAATGGTTAGCTCCCATCATGGTGCTCATGGTCGATCTTTTCTTTGTAACAATTGATCAAGTAAGTGATTAATCTTGTCAGCTGTAATCTATGTATAATTAAAGTGAGTCTCTCTCTCTCTGTATCTGATGAAAAACAGATGATTTCTTTTGGTTCTGCATCTCTCAATGAGTTAATTTTGTTTTGACTGTACTCTATTTGCTTCAAGCTTACCCCAACCATTAAGAAGGCCCGAAGCTCAAAAATTATTCCAAACTGATCAAACAACTACTGGAATTCTTTTTCTGCCAGCCTTTTCTTTATGGTTTGTTTGTGTTAAGGAACACCTTTTGGGAATTTCTTGTTGATTATTGGTGCCTAGTCCTTCACTCTGCCTCCATGGAAATTGGTGCCTATTTGTGCTCACGATCGACAACAAAGAAAGGCGGGGGAAGGGGGTGGGTGGGTTGCTTTGTGTTTTGGTTTCATTTCCTTTCTGATTTGGAATTTAGCTTGGGATTTTTATAAGGATTTTGATTATTTTAAAATTTTGATGAACTCAGCTCAATTAGTGCTGGAAATGCTGATAGATTGTAATCTGCTGGAACAAGTCTCCTGCCAAATTTCTAAGTTAGAGATTTGCACCGGCACCTTGTAGCTCTGCTGGATTGAATACATAACCTTACTTTTCAAAAAAAAAAAAAAAAAACTATTGATCATTGCGATTTACCTTTTTTCTCTTTTCTTAATGCAAAATCATATCATTAGAATTTTATCAAGAAAAACAAAGACATGATCTAGTCAATACAATCCGCGTACCCAAGTGATGCCTTTAAAAACTAATTATATACTAGCAACAAATCTAAATTGTGATTAATCCTTGTCCTTACAAGCTCATTTTACAAATCGTTGATTGTCCAAGAAATATTATGAATTTGCCAATATCATAATTAAACATTCAATTATCAATGATTCGATACGTAATATTTTTCTTTTTTTTTGTTGAGAGCAAACGAAATCTGGATTGTAGAGGAGATCATTGTTTTTCGTGAAAAAAAAGAGATTTTATACAAATTGAAAAGATTGTGATACGTGGGACTTAATTTGGCAAGAAACTAGATTCTAAACTTGCACAGCACCATTTGTGGACGAGAGGGCAACCTAAAGGATAGATTTTGAATGAGCAAAAGATTTGAGATTTGAGAGATAGAGAGATTGACAGATAAGTACTTAATATGCGTGAAAAAAAGAAAGAAGAAAAACTAGAACGAATTGTTAACCGCATTCATTGGATCGATAAAAAAAATGTACATATTAGTCATACGGGGAATTTGTTTTATATATAGCAGATAGAAATTGACATCTTTTTTTACTAGTTGCTGTCATGTTTCACGTTATATATATATATATATATATATTTGTATATTTTAAAGTAACTTTGATGAAGAAATATTGTTCTTGTTCTGCAATTTGCAAAAGTTTAAGAAATAGAAAAAGTAAAATTCAATATAATATATAAATAATTTGGGGCGGCTAGTACAGGACCTTGTTAAGAATTGACGAAGACCTTGTTTCCCTTTTTTTTTTTCTCAACCTTTCTTCTTTGGTCTTTTTACATTGATTAAACTCATTGGTTTTAGCTTTATCCGCTGCAAGCTTACACACTTGCAAATCAATGGCAACCAACAACCAGAGCACAGAGCAAGACACTTTCATAAACCCAACGCCGTTAGACGTTGATCCCTTATATCAGGCCGCAAGGCGTGTGTCTGGCGAGTCTGCTGAGAGAACATTGGCTCCTACGGCCGCCATAATCTGTAAGTGCTAAATGCAAACAGTAGTTCAAATCATTGTTGAATATTTAACATGGCAATTTTTAGTACCCATAACCGAAATCTAATTTCAATTTCTTTTAGAAAGATTATTTGGAGTAAGTACTAATTAATTACTATTTACTATGTCTAATTAAATGGCAAAAGCTGAGGACGAGAGGATCCGTTTTAAGTACTATCATCAGTTACATCTAGCTGCACTTAAGGGAAACTGGGAAGCTGCTAAAGGGTATTTCCAGGATAATGTTCCTAATGCATTTACAGAAGAAATATCAAGTACAAGGATGAATGCTTTGCTTGTTGCTTCTTGTAATGGGCATACTAAATTTGTTGAGATGCTCGTAAAGCGTATGCCTGAAGAGGCACTTCAAAAGCGCGGCCCTGGAGGCTACACGGCTCTCCATCATGCTGCCATTGGCGGCCATCTCAAGATGGCCAAAGCCTTGATCAGAAAAAACCCGGGATTGACTCAAATTACAGACAATTCTGGGAATACTCCACTTCTCTGCGCGGTTTTGTTGTTTTCCAGACACAAGCTGGTGCGGTACCTTGCCTTGGCAACAACAATTGAGAAGCCTGAACGCCCCTTCAGTGGTTGTAAGGCTGGCGACCTTATGGTTAATCTCACTCACATGGGATTCCATGGTAAAACCAACAGCATGAAGCCATTTCTTCTTTCAAAGTCAAATCCTATTACTCTTTTGATTCCAAATTAAATGTCTATCTTTCAAATGAGACAAAATTTTGAGGATGAGATTTTTTGTTACTTAATTTGGTAATTTTACTTTTGAAGTGAAATAAAAGTTAAAAAATCTTACTTAAAATTAGTATTTCAATGAAAAGTAACATTAAGAATGTATTTTTCATTTTGACATAATATTATTATTTATACAATTTAAAATAATAAGATTCAGAACCAATGCAACATAAATTGTCGTTATAATTTTTTACATTTATATATAGAATTATTTATCGAGCTTTTCCTTCTTTTTAAGCAGATATATCTCTGTATATAATCCGACGTGAACCGAGCCTAGCTCTTGCGGCAAGTAGTGAGGGTGAAACTATACTCCAAGTGCTCGCTTATGAGCCCGCACACTTTCGCAGTGGAACTAAGCTTAATTTTTGGGAAAGATGGATTTATCAAAATTGTTGGTTTCCTCTTCCTTAAATTTGTAGTGTTTCTTTTTTCTTCAAATCTCTTGTGTTGTCATGATCTTCATTTCTGTTTTTTTTTTTTTTGATGTAAAAAGTTCCAGTACACGATGAGGATGACCCACTTGGAGCCTCAGATCAGGACTTGGTGGCAGAAAAACAATCACAGACCAACGAAGCTAAAACTCAAGGTTTGCAGATTTTACACTCAATCCTCTTGTATTTTAATTAGTCCCCAATCATTGAAAGATTTATGCAGTGAATATGTGATAATTAGTAGCTAGTTTGTTCGGGAATGTTGGAATCAATAAGTAGTGCTCTGCTTCACTATTTTACATGGTAGGATATATACTCGAATTCAATTTTTGTTCGATGACAAGGGTGTTTTATGGTGCAAAAATGGTATTGGAAAATCATCTTGAGAACCCAGGATTCATTTTGTGTTTTATATGTTGCAGCTTATCAAGGGGTCAAAAAAGTTCTTTGGAGAAGAATCAAATATTTAGGTAAGCAACATCGTGACCTTGGGATGTTGCGGTTTATCCCTATTTATTACGTAACTAGCTACTTAATGTGATAATTAGTTACCATTTTGCAGTACCTTGTATTAGCAAGGTTGGAGAAAAAAAGTTGGGGCATGAACGTGCCTGCAAGTTGGTTCATCTTTGTTTAAAAGCTTTATTCAATTATAACGAACGAGTGCGGGTAAAGTATTTCAACGAGCAGGAGATTCTCCACTATGCTGCATGCTGTGGCGTCCTCGAAATTGTGACCGCATCTCTTCATTATTTTCCGGACCTGATTTTCTCCAAACATGGAAGTATGATACTAAAAAATGCTATTCAATGGCGGCAAGAAAAAATTTTCAACCTCGCATGCAAAAACACCGCACTTGATAAGATGTTGGCTACCCAGTGTTACAAGCCTTCCATCTCACATTTAGCAGCACAGCTACCGACGAATCGTCAACTCTCCGTTGATTCTTGTGCAGCTTTGCAAATGCAGAGAGAGGTGCAATGGTATAAGGTTGGTAAATTAACTGACGTTGTATTATTAACGGTTAATTATACATTTGGTTCCTGGATTATAATAGTAAAATGTTCCATTGATACTTAACAAAATGAAAAGTTGTAGTATTTGATTGTGAATTTACTTTTTAAAGGTAACAGATCGATGTTTTCATTATAATCGGACTATAACAAATGTGCAATTAGCCCTATTATTAACTTGATTCGTTGCTCTTTGCATTTTTTCTGCTTTTCATTGGTCACTTAGAATGTTTACTGAGAAAATGTGTCTGGTAGGCGATAGAGACTATTCAGCATCCAAGAATGAAGCAGTTGACATCGGCGAAAGGGAAAACGGCTTTTGATTTTTTCTCGGAAAACCGCAAACAAATGCGCGAGAATGCAGAGAAATGGATGAAGGATACCTCAGATTCCTGTATGCTTGTGTCTACTCTCATTGCTACAGTGGCGTTTGCTGTAGCTTTTACAGTTCCTGGAGGAATCAATGATCAAGGAATTCCGATTTTCGTCAACAAGACATCATTTAGGATATTTGTCTATTCGGATGCACTAGCACTGTTTTCATCAGTCACTTCCATCTTGATGTTCTTATCTATCCTAACTTCAAGCTACAAAGAGGAAGACTTCCACAGGGCATTGCCCGAGAGGATGATAATCGGTCTCGCCTCCCTCTTCGTCGCCATTGCCACCATGATGGTAGCTTTTGGAGCAGCTCTCGTAATTATACTAAGTGAGAGGCTCAAATGGGTTTGGGGTCCACTTATTTTCTTGGCATCGTTTCCGGTGACTCTATTCATCATGCTGCAGCTTCCGTTGTTCATTGAAATGGTTCAATCAACATACGGAAGCATCTTTCAACGTGAAAAAATATGGAAACGGAGTGGGCATCGAGATGCAACTGACCCTCTCTATTAGCCTGACAATGGTTAGTGTATGTGTACCAATAAATGGCTACGAAGATGATTATTAAGTAGCCATAAAATTATAAATGTTGTACTTGTTCTTTGGTGGTGTAAGTTGTGACTTCTTTGCTTGCTTTGATATGCAATGATGATCTTTCACCTGCTTTTGGAAAAAAAAAAAAATTTGCATACAATGCTAGGTTAATCTATACCAGCAACACATAATTTTTTTTCCTTTGAAAAGCGTAATTCGTATTAATACTATCAATAGTTACGACACTACTGATAAGAAATTCAACTACAAATTCAGTGCGACATTACCATCAAATACTGTCTCCTTACTACATTAACACTCAGCTCAAGGAAAAACACACCAACAATGTACAAATCCCATTTTGTGGAAAAAAACAGTACAATCCAATTTTTTTTTTGGGTATTTTTTGACTGTTCTTCCTACCTGCTCCATATAAAAAGGCAAGTGTGGAGAAAAAAAAAAGCAAAGTGGTGCCGTTTTGAAGGGCAAAGTCTACCAAATGGTCTTTTTCAAAGATTTTTTGTTTTACTATTTCCTTTCTACCAATGTGGTCATTTTTTAAGAATTTCTTTTGTCCATTCTTTCTTCCCGCTTTAGATAAATGACTCACTTTTTAATGTATCCACCCACTGAATCTTGGATTTAGCTCCCAAAAGTGATGACTTTATAATTTTTTATTTTAAAAAAAATATTTTTATAGACTTTTTAAGTAAAGATACATGTTCTTGTTCTAATTATTACTTTTTTTATTTTTTTCGTTTTTTAAGATGTCTTAAAATATATTTTTTAGACACTTAATATTCTTTTTTGTGTATTAGAAATTCAGTTTTGTGATTTTTTAAATCTTTTGAATTACAAAGGATTAAATATCTATATTATAATTTTTTTAAAACATTTTAATACAAAATATATCAAAATCAAAATTTTTATCTCAATCTTCACAAAAGACAAAAAGGAGCAAACATTATGAAACACGAAGAAAGTATTAAGTTGCATATTCAAGTACAATAGTGGTTCTATAATTAATTATGAACTGCTTGTGGAGTATAGGAAAATTAGGAAAACATTAAATAAGATTGAGATAAGGTGGTCCATGACCGTGGAAGCGTTGTTGTATTGGATATGGAAAAATGCCAACCTAAATGCTTTAAAAGAAACAAGTAGGATGTTTAAAATTTACATGGACTTGGTACAAAGATTTAAAAAAGGATTTATGAGTGTGAACGTTTCACATTTTATGAGATTAACTTTTTGAGAAAAGACGAAAAATCACGTGTGGTAAAAAACTCAACAAAAAACAAAAGAGTTGCTTTTGCTTGTGCATTCATTGGACCGACAAAAAGTTTACATTTTAGTTATACGGGGAAATTGTTTTATATAGAGTAGATAAAATTTGACATTTTTTTCACTCGTCGTTGCCGTGTTTCACATTCTTCCATTGCCTATACGTGGGAAGACGACCACCCTTTCCCAAAAACAAAAACTCCCCCTTCATTGTATAAATCAGATTAAAAAAAAATTGAGGTCTTTCAATTTACTCATATTTTAATTAAATATGAAAAAAATTTAATATAGTCAACTTTTAATATTTTTATTTTATTTTTGTTTAAAATTATAATATTAAATATAAATAGTTAAATATGATATAATTTTATTTAATTTAATCATCGTACTGTATATTTTTATTTAATTTAACCCTATAACTTGATATAATTTTTTTTTAAAATTTTTTTTATCTGTCATGTGGCACTGGTATGTCAACACTATCACATTATTACATAGTACACGTATATTACCACGTAATCACCTGATGCCACATGAAATGTCAAGTCATTATCTTAATATTATGTTATCAAAATGTGATATGTTATCGCTGATGTCATCTTTTAATGGTAAAATTAAATTTTATTAAAGAAAAAGATTAAATTGACGTAATTTTTAAAATCAATAAATTAAAATTTTTTTATTTTGAATACAATGACTAAATTAAAAAAATAAAAACTTATAAGAATTTGATAGGTCTTTTAATCATTTTATTTTGTGGAAAAAAACAAAACAATCTAATTGTTTTTGGGGGTTACTTTTTGACTGTTCTTACTAGCTGCTCCAAATAAAAAAGGCACGTGTGGTAAAAAACGCGCAAAGTGTGCCGTTTTGAAGGGCAAAGTCTACCAAAAAGTCATTTTTTAAGATTTTTTTGTACTGTATTGATTCAACCGATGTGGTCTTTTTTTAAGAAATCCTTTTGCCCATTCTTTCTTCCGCTTTATATAAACGACTCACTTTTTAATGCATCGACCCACTGAATCTGGGGTTGAGCTCCCAAAAGGGGTGACTTTATAATTTTTTATTAAAAAAATATTTTTATTGATTTTTTAAGTAAAGCTACATGTACTTATTGCTTACTACTCTTTTTGATCATTTTCTCAAGATGTCCTAAAATATAATTTTTTAGACACTTAATATTCTTTTTTTATTACAAATTCATCTTTAAGATTTTTAAAAACTTTTCAAATTAAAAAAGATTAAATATCTATATTACATTTTTTAAAATTTTAATATAAAATATATCAAAAATCAAAAATCAAAATTTTTATCTTAATCCTCGTAAAAGATGGAAAAGAGCAAACATTATGAAAGGAAGAAAGTATTAAATTGAATATTTAGGTACAATAATGATTTTATAATTAAATATGGAAATAAATCTCAACGAAGGAAAAAAAAATCAGAGCATATATCTATCCTTTTGCCCATCCAGATTAACAGTCACCCTACGACTACCTTTTCAACCACAAGAATACGTACTTAATTTTATCTATTTTAACTTTGCTCAAGAACGGAGAAGTTCTGTTGCATGGAAGATACGAAAAGACTAAGAAAAAGGCAGGGGCTTCAGTTTTGCGCGTGAAGGAATTAGGAGAAAGATAAGGCAACGACGAACTGCTTGGGAGTATAGGAAAATTGTGAAAACATTAAATAAGATTGAAATAAGGTGGTCAATGCTTTATAAGAAACAAAAAGGGTGTTTCAATTTTACATACAACAGGTACAAGGATTTTGAAAAAAAATTTTAAGTGTGAACGTTCCAAACTGTATGAGATTAACTTTTCGAAAAATGACACAGACACGTATTTAATATAATAATTATGTGAGAAAAGAGTAAAAAAAGAAGTTAATTGACTGCAGCATCTATTGACCTATAAAAATTGTGTATTTTAGTCATACAGGAAAATTGTTTTATATATAGTAGATAAAAATTGACATTTTTTTACTAGTTGTTGTCATGTTTCACATTCTTCCATATATATATTTCAAAGTAACTTTGTTGGAGAAATATTGTTCTTTGTTCACATATGGCTTAAATTGTACCGTAATTTGTAAAATGTTTAAGGAATAAAAAGAGTAAAATTCAATATAATATATAAATAAGTTGAGGCAAGTAGGATAGGAAGATCAATGGAAAGAGGACAAACATAGCATTTTAAGGTGAAAAAATTGTGAGAAATGATCAATCTCATAAGATTATTTTAAAAATATTTTTTAAAATATAGTTTAATTGATTTTATCCAAAGATAAAAATACTCTTGAAGCTATTTCAGATAAATTAAATTATTTATTATAATTTTTTCTCTTGATTTGGGCATCGGTTTATCGCCCTCCCAATTTCCCTCTCACCATTTAACTATCTAATTTTACTGATTTCTTTCTCCTGCATTCGTCTCCTGTATTCCAAATTTCTCTCTTTTGTCATCTAACTCTCCCTAATTTTACTATCATTGTCACCATTGTCATCTTATTCTATCTATTTTTACAGATTAAAAAACAAAGATGACATTAATATATATTTTTGAGTTTATTGGTTTATATTCACAGAATGCAAAAGTTGATGGGTTGAAGTTATAAATAAAATTTGTAAATTAGAATACTGTTTAGAGTTGTTATACGCTATGTCTACATGTAACAATTTTAATGCACTTGACGTATAACAAATTTTTTGGAGTTAAACAACTATAATGCATATGGCATGGTTTAAACATAATATATAACTTGATTTCTATTTTTGTATTTTACTAGGATATAAAGTTTTAGAATTAAACACCTAAACATGACATGTAACTATGTCTCTATCTTTGTGTCTAATTAGAACATTAACTTTTACAGTTAAATACTTTAAATATGACGTGTAACAATTTTTTTTAATATGATATGTACTATTGTTTTTTCAACATAAAATGTAACTCAGTCTCTATCTTTGTATTTTATTATGATATAAACTCTTAGAGTTAAATACTTTAAACATGATGTGTAACAATATTTTTTTTCAACATGGTAGGTAATAATTTTTTTATTTCAACATTGCTCGTAATAATTTTTTTTCAACATGACGTATACCTTGGTTTCTATCTTTATATTTTGTTAGGATATAAATATTTATAGTTAAACACTTAAATACGGTGTAATTTTTTTTTAACATAACGTGTAATAATTTTTTTTTCAACATGATGTGTAACTTGATTTCTATTTTTATATTTCATTAGAACATAACTCTTAGAGTTCAATACTTTAAAAATAATGTGTAACAATTTTTCTTCAACATGACTTATATAAACTTTTTTTCAACACGTGCACTTAATTTTGAAAAAAAATTATTAAGCGTAATTTTATTTATTTATTTTTATTAAAAATAATTAAAATTAAAAAAAATATTTTTTAGAATACCTTCTTTTTAAAAATTAAAAAAACAATTCCTTTTTATATACGTGTGGTTAGGCTGCCGGCTGTAAATCATCCCAAAAGCTCTTTCTGTTATAGTTTTCGTTCGCTTTCCAGAAGACCTTGACTTTAATATAATCATTATCTTTGCTTCCAGAAAAAATGTGGATGGGCCTGTTTGAAACTTTTTTTTGGCATCGTGTTTAATTGGCCTTTTATCAAATTAAGGTGAGCACATGGTGCTACAGCTATGTACCCTTTATCAA